ACCCACCATCTTGACTTTAATCCAACTCTGATCGTCAACTTAAGTTGGAACAAGGGTTTTCAATTGTTCATATGGATTTTCAAACTGTGCATAAATTGATAGCCAAATCTAATGAGTGTTTCGAGGAAAGCAAAATTTAAGCCCAAGGGATAAGACTTCCTTGTGATAGGTGGACTGTGTCACTGTAGAAAGATTAGTAACATATTTATCCGGACTAACAAGGAAACAATAATAATTTGCTTTTTCCTGTCAAGTGAACTGCTTAACTTCCGATGCATATTGGCTTTCATTTTAAGGATGGCATTACCACAAAGTTGTAGGGATTTCAAACGACATATTATTGATGAAACCGATAGAAAATATAATGCATTTACTTGGAACAAATGCAATTTATGCAACTTATCATGACCATTTTGGACGTGTGACTTTATAAGACGCATAAGATTTGAAATGTTTGGCTGCAATCTATTAGATTATTATTAAATTGGAAGTATGTTTTCACACAAAGGTCAATAAGTTCCACCAAGCTGAACATTGAGGTTTTGTGCATTCGGAAAGACTTGTGTCCTCAGTGAAGAGAATATACATAGTATACTCGGCTAGTTGTGGTTCAATTGATGTGCATAATGTTGTGAAATCGAAGGATATTATCATTCGTTATCTTCCATATTAATGCCTTGGATCCTTTCTAAGAATTCTGTCGGTTATTTCATGGAATTTCCGCATGATTGTATAAGTTGTTTAAGGTTCCTCGGAAGTTCTGTGGTTTTTGTATAAGTTGGAGTCCTCGGAAGTGAGACTGTTGGCCGTAGAGGGATGTCTGGTTTATGCAGTTTTGGTCTGCTGTAAGACCGAGGAAGAATATGTCCATTTTATTTAATTCGCTACTTGTCATGCTTTGTTATTTCTTCTGCTTGGAAGAGCTTGTATAAGGTTGTCAAACTTTTGGATAGGTTTTCTTTCAAGTGCCTACTATTTTTCTGAACGGATTGACGAGAGGAACTTAAATTATGCGGCATGAAACGTAGTTCTGAATCTTTCAAGCAATAACTGAGAAGGTTAACTGCATTTCGGAGCTTAAATGCCATGCTAATAATCCTTGAGTGTAATGTAGTCATTCATTTTGACTAGAAAGCAAACGGAATGTCCGGGAGTGTTTAATAAATGCTGTATATGATCCATCTATAGTAAGAGAGGACTGAGTTTAGTGGCTTAACTCATTATTATGACAGTTTTAAAAGCCTCTTACAATCCTGGTCACGCTTTTGTAAACCTTTTCTAGTTGGTGTTTGTCTTTCATAAAGTATGTCCAGTGTACGACAGTGTCGTATTCTGGATGTCGTAAGATTTATCTTAGCATAGGATTGCACAGTTGTTTTTTGTGAGTCTACCGAAAGCTCTGTGGAGCTTTGGCTCATTGGTTAAGGTAGTTGATTATTGACTGGTGGGTCAGAGTTACCAGCCCCGCTCCATATACTAAGGTGTGAGTAGCTGGTATCATTAGCCCACACACAATCGGTATGGCATATCACCTACTGCACGAAGTCCGTTGTGGATGCTGAGTGTATTTTGATTCGTTCAATTCGAGGTAATGCTCCTCACTGAATATTGGGTAATACAATACCTGCGGTATACTCATGGGTTATTTTTCATCTAATACAGCTGTTTTTACACTTTGACGTAATTCTGGTGATAAACAAATTCCACAGTCTGAAATTCAGCAATATTCGCTAAATGCTGTCCTTCATTGTTTAAATATATTTTTTTAAACTGAGAGCATGGAATAAAGCACCCAGTTTATTCAGTAGATCATCTTGTTACAGTGCGTTACTCGTTCGCGATCTCCTAGTCAGTGCAGTTGCAGATAAGTAGCTCTAAATCAATAGCTTAGGGTTCGACAAGACTTCACAGTAATGCTGACCTTCATGGTTTTAAAGGTCTGGTTAGGCTGAAGGCACACGGTCAAGTATCCATGCCACTTGACATGTTGTCAAATTAAGTTATATTGCTCTTATCTGATCTTCTAGCGAATTGGCCAAAACGCATCGGTATTTTGGCAGGGTTTATAAAATATTCTATTCCTATCTGGCTACCCTGTCAAATCTTTCTTGATCTCACATTCATGGGTATTCTAAAGTGTCTGTCAGGTTGGCATACGAACAGTTTCTTAGACCGGCTAGATAGTGCATTTTGGTTTGTTGGTGTCGTTCAACAGCTATACGATCACTCGCTGACAAACAACTTGGTGTCTTCCCTTATTATTGGACTTATGAGTTTTCATACAGGTATAAAAAACCAGCGTTTGCTATTTCCAGTCATCAAGATAACCTACTCCATTTCTAAAATGACAAAAAATATACCCCATTAAAATCTATAGTAGAAATCAACAGTAACATAAAATTCAGTTGAATTGTTTTACGACTGAAACTAGCCTAATATTTAACAACTTGGGCATTTCTGCGCCACTGCATTTGCCCACATTAAGTATATTTAAAATATATTTTCCCATTTTTGGGGAATGATTCTTTGTCTTTGGTAGACAGTGTTGCTAGTATCGTTCAGTGTTTTATCGGCAAACAGTACTTCAAGCAAATCGAAGAGTGGCGAAAGTTAATTAGTAAGGCGTTATCAAGAAAACGTGGGTTCGTAAATAAATACATGAACTGATTTTTAAGTAATGTGAATAAAAAAAATAGTGCGTATCCAGAAAGAGTGCAAAAATTGTATGGGGAACACGTTATTACGTGAATGTAATACGAAGAATTAATAGAATGAGTTATGGCATCAATGAAAGAAACAGTAAAACGCTTAATACGAGAGCAAGAGAATGAAAAGAAAGCATTACAATGGCAAGTCATTGTAGTATATCAATGTGCTCAGCCTCTATATCACTAAATATCTATCCAACAATTTTCAAGCTATCACCAATTTATAAGTAGCTGCGTTGACTATCAAAGCATTTGAATGGCTTTAAACTTTAAAAAAATACAGTCCGATATGGGGACTTATTATCTGATGTATGATACTTCTTGGACTTTTACGAAGATCTCGGGAGTGATCCTTTAGAAGTTTCCCTTATTTGGGTGATCCTTTTAACTACGGAGAATATTTATAGCCAAGGAAATTAATTTTGATGTTGTTGTGTTCTCTGAGCTGGATGGTTTAATTATGAAGCTTTAATTGTCATTTTGGAGAACATCATCGGCAAACTTCAGAAAGAAATGAGCAATAACGTTTTCCCCACAAGTGGCTTAGTCGCTTGTCTTAAGGGCTATGTGTTTGTGCCAAAGCCTTTTTCGTTGTCTCTATATATTTCGACTGGATGTCCTGCTGACATGAAATTCGACCTTATTGTTGTTTCTTATTGGTTGATAGGTCAGGTCAATATCAATATGTCTGTTGATCACTGACTGGCCTGAATACCAAGCTTCTAAGAATTCTCTGGCGTTTCTTGTATTTCCTCTGTTCAAGATTTCCACATTTCCTCAGTCAAATTCATGTTCATAGCTGTCCTTATGCATTGATATGGACGAAGATATATATGATCATGCTTCACTGCTAGTTGATGTCCATATAGACGGATGTGAAGAGGACGACCATTCTGTATGATGTAGTGTTTTTCGTAGTTTCTGTGGTTTGTTTTGTAAATAATTTTTGGTTTGTCTTCCCTTCTTACTGCATCCTTTGACCGGCATAACAGAGAGTGAAAAGCTTTTGTGGGCTTGTGAGCTACAGAGATTTCAAAAGGCTTCAATAATCTAGTCGTGATCTCAGAGATATTCTTCATGTAGGGCAAGGCAATCCGTTTGTTAGTTTTTGAGGCTGACTTCTTGGTTGGTCATGAATTATGCTAGAATCTTTTGATGAAGTTGCGTGGATAGCCATTCTTCTGGAAAGCAGTCATTAACATCACGTCAACTAGTAGTGAAGCATCATCATATATATCTCCACCCATATCAATGTTTAAGGAAAACTGCGGACATGAATTTGACTGAGGAAATGTGGAAATCTTGAACAGAGGAAATACAAAAAATGCCAGAGAATTCTTAGAAGCATGGCATTCAGGTCAGTAAGTGGCATGATGTTGTAGACTTCAAAAAGAGGTCCTATTAATCTTTGGTAGAGCTTAAAGAAAAACTATGAAGAAGGAGCACCCAATAGTTTGTTTACAAAGTTTACTACCCAGGTGTTTATGGCATCTCCAGCGGAATTTTAGCTTTTTTCTAGATTTTCGACTAAAAGAGCCAAGTAATATTTGGTCACGGTACCGAAAGGATGAGTACCGCAAAGAGTGTCAAGGACTTCAGTTGACTCACATGCATAGAATGACAAGGATTTGAGTGTATTACTACTACCTCATTTCCTTAGAAACTCTTAAGTCATCCCGTAGGACTAGCGTGTTCGGTATACAACTCATAAGTCTTCACAAATTTGGATTCTTTTTCCAAAGTAAATAATTGTGACGTGAATCTCCTTTATTTCAGTTGGAGTCCTAACTTCCTAAGTTGGCTTTAACTTCTCGTTCATATACTTGTGAAGCCCCAAACCTGTGCCTGCTCTATGCATGTGTTATACTGCTAAGAGAATCAACAAAATGCGTTCATCAGTACTTGCTCTATGTCCTCTCCGCACTTAAGCTTGCGCCGTAAATTTGCTTTCATGACGAAAGAAAACAGTAGAAATTCAGTGAGCGGTTTCGTTAGATCGATATGTAAACTGAAATCTAATAATCTGAACAATTTCACATTCACTCATGTCTTGCAGTGATCCCATCACAGTGTGGACCAAAAAATCTCTTGAAAACAAGCTTTTCGAATGGTTTTTCATATATCTGAAAAAGAGATGTGTATACTGAACTATATTGTTAACGTCCTATTTTCAGGTATCCAATCCTGCCAAATAAGCAACCAATTTCCTTGAAGCAATCTGCAGCTTTTACGCAAATCGAATAGACTGTCGTAAATTAAAACTTAGTAGTGTATATTACGCCGAAAAATCGCATGTCAGAAATCCAGGTGAAGTTAATTTACCTTTTATAATTACATTCTCTTTTGAGATGCTTTGAAGTTTCTTTCATAGCGGTTTCATGTTATATTGAAGTTACCATGCTTGAGTTTACTTGTCGAAATGCAACAAAATAAGTGTCGAGCAAATCTAGTCAGTTCAGTTTTTGGTTACTATTCTAGTGAACGTGGCTGATAAAAACGGATATAAGTAGTATGTGTTGAGAGGGTGGCAGAAATCATAGGGAATTACCAGCAATGGGTAAGGATCCCGCCAAGAGAAACGCAAGAGACAAGGCAGGTGTGTGAAGAGCAAATCAAGAAAGGAGCAGAAGAGGAAATGAAGCACATTTTGCAAAGCATTTGCCCTGTCTGTTGATATTCATTTGAAGTGCAGCCACCTTTTTTTGAAGGTTGTCGATTTGTTTTTTCCAGTTATTTACCTCTGATAACTCCACTGCAGTACCCATCAGCTGTCTGGTCACCTTGGCTATCTCACTAATATGCATGGGTTGGGCCGCATTGGCTAGTCGTAGCTGCTGGGCGATGACGTTCGGGACACTTTCGGTGGACTGCGTAGCCAGTAACTGTTCCTGCGACTCCTCATCCAACGTGGGAAGTGCTCGCCGAAGTAGTTCTGTCAACTTCATAGCCAATACCAGCACATCTTCCTCGATTCCAAGTTTCGTTCTCCGGAACTTCTGCATCGCCAGCTCCCTGTCCGCTGGGCTGTCGAATTCCACTTCCAGTCGTTCAACAATTCTCTCCCAAGTTTCTTTCCCTTTCTCCACGTTCCACACCGTCATATGCTGCTTTCGTTCTACCCCTCAGCAACGTGCCAAGTACTACCTTCGGACGCCCACCAGCTCCGCGACTGACTCGGAGTACCTGAGAACGACCTTGATGTCTCCATCCGCTAACTCTACAGGCTATGGATCTTCATCACGTCCAGAAACAGCGACACCAATTGAAGAAGCAAGAAGACAAGTATGAAGGAAAGAATGTTTATTGTCAACAAGTGGGACAGTAGTCCTTAAATATGGTACACCTTATCAGCAACGCCCACTACACTATTTTTTTAATTTTCTGGAACTGTGGATTACTTCTTTGCATGACTTGCCTTGAAATGAAGAGTAATGAAAATGCGACTGCACCACAGTGATGTGATTGAATCAACCCTAACAGATACTGGAATAATTTTTCGTAACTTTCGCTTAACAAACCACTTAATAATAGGAGGTCCTCTCCACCTTTTAGTATTAAGTTGATGTGAAATGTATGCGTTGAAAACCTAATTGTCTAATTGCGTACTTGCACCAGTTCACAGCCATTATTTTCTTGTCGATCTGGGAAGCGCTGTGTGGTTTTTTAAAACACTTGAGACCACTGTTTGAGCATCATGAGTGCAAAAGGAGTATAACATGATTTAAGTTTGCTTATTTAGGCTATTTTTCATGGTTAAGTTGATAACACTTTTCCATATACGAATATTCGAATTCTAGTTACGGCAAATGAAGAGGTGACTTCTTTATGGCTATCAGTAAGAAATCATCCTAAGAGATTCACTAAGCTGGAAGTAAGCTGAGTTGTTCAGATTAAATTATTCTCCAAGCTCAATCTAAACACATACACCTTGAGCCATAGATATTCTCCACAATTTCTGGTTTGATTTATTTTTTCAAGTCTTTAAACAAGCCTATATTTAAATTTAGCCACTGATTTTTGCAATGACATTTTTACAGACTGAAGCACTGAACCTATTTCTTCACGACCAAACAAACCTTAATAGATATGTTATACAAAATGCTATTTCTTCAACAAAGAAACCGAAGTGGAATTCAAACATTCCAAATTCAATTGCGAACTCACATTCGTCATCTTCTTTGTCTAACCAGTTTATGCAGACCAAATTACATCACCAATATGCCTTGAATCAAATTCGAAGTAAACATATTCGTGCTGAAGAGACATTTAAGCAGTCTACAACAGAGTGGCTGGAAAACCATAGTTTAAAGGCGAAACAGTTGACAATACACGACTTCGTTGCGATGGGTAGAATTCCAGAAAGTAGAATGCGAAAATTTTCTGGTAAATTTGACTTAATAATTTTAATCTTCTGCATATTTTAACGAAGCAATTTCAAAAATAACAATGGACCAAATTGTTGACGAATTCAAACAAAATCCTGCATCACATCTGGAATATGACATAAAGCAGCTCAATGAATTTGAATGTGGTCTGCATGAGTCCATCTATTCCTACATGAACAGAATCAAGTGGTTGATGAGGGTAAGTTACTTATTATTTATTGTATCTTTACTTTTTTACAGTCAGGTGTACACGTGATAGCGCGTAATTTGTTTTCAAACTTTTATTCAATGATCTTAGTAACAAAATTGGGTTGACCTTTTTCACAAAGTACAATATATCCTATGTTTCTTACTTGGAGGCAACCAAAATTGTCTCGTTATGTCAGCAGTCACATTATAAACATTTATGGATAGAATTTAGTAAGCAGTGAAATACGATCATGGCTATCGGAAGCACTTAATTTATAAAATATTCTATCATAGTTAAAAGGTATTTTGCAAACTAACAAAAATAAGGAAAAAAACTGTAAGTCAAAGAAGCACTATGATTAAGATCAGCTGGTAAAGTTATAAAATATAAGGAGGTTCAGTAATCTCAATAAATATCGTGTTGAGCAGCCTTGAATACAAGTGGATTTTTCACTGGAGTTCTAACATTTGAGGATCATCTCCAACATGACTGTTAACTTTCAGCATGAAGTTTTAATTTCAATGACGTTCAAAATAAATTTTGAATCAGTTGCGCTATAACAGTTTTTAACACCAGTTTTGACCTTCAATTCAAACTTGGATGCTGTACGTTTGTATAAATTTTAACTGTAAATTTTCCCTAATGATGAATAATAGTGATATCTATTTTGAACTTTTCAAAATTTTTAAGCCAAACTCCCATAAAACGACAAGATGGTTGGGAGTTTATCTATGAGACATTCGAGTCAGGCAAATCTTTCAAATCAGTCACTCAATTCCAAGACTGAATAAAGCCTTTAAGCAGATCACAAGGATTACCTGTAGTGGTATTAGACTGACAGAGCTTACTTTTATGGACATTTAGGACAAATATAGCAGAATCTGCTTCTTCAATAACCAAAAGGTTTTGAATCCATATCACCATAAAACAATCCTAGATATTAACCGATTTCAGCTATTTTACGTCAAGTTTCCTACAGAGTAGGCAAAGAATTATTTAGGACTGATATGTTGTTTATTGCAGGTGTGCATTCAAATGCTTCTATATTGAAAAATTTCTATTATTCAACAGACTCTGTCTATCAACATTTATATAAGAAATAGCTTTTAAAGCATTCACTTGTAGTTGGTCCATTTCATCTTCGAAAACTTGTGTTCCAGTGACATGTGAACTTAGGTATGTTACTTCTAAGCTTATAATATTTCATTAAAGTATTTAAAAAAGTGCTATACAGCTATGCAGTTTGTTAAATTGTTATAACGTACTGCTGAGGAGTCCCATACTAAGACGAAACAGCTGTCCAGTGCTCCCAGATTTCCAATGGCTCCCCAACTAATGTCCGTCCAAGATGAATACTACTTCAAAATTAAAAATCCCCATTCATCTCAAAAATAATTTTCATGTTATGTTCGAAATTAAAATACACTCAAGTCAGCATAAAAAATTATCTGAAACATGAAGAAATAATTTTTGATTGCACTGACTCAGTGTATTTTCTTACTTAAAATCCCTAGGATACTAGAAAGATATTTGGCTTGGTTCGCGGAGAACATGTTGGACTTTTATTAGATGGTTCAGATGCAAATTTAGGATTTAATCGAGATAAACAATTTAAAAAGCATTTAATCGAGTTCATAAATGAACAGTTGAACGTAGAAAAGTTGAAAACATTGTATGTAGCAAGTTATGGAACGCATATCAATTCGTTGTGGCCATATCCAATGAGTGTTAACACACGCACAATTGATGAATTAAAATTTTTTATCAAGGAACAATTGGTTCCATCTGGTGGATCAAACTTACTGAATGGTATAAAACACGTAAGATCCAATTAGTTTTATCATTCTTTACTTCAAAACAACATTATCGTCTTGTATTCAAAACCTGTCAGCGTAAAATAATTTTTTAAAATTATTTCGGTCAATTCCCAATTATTTTAATTGAACATTATTATATTATAATTATTAGTCCCTTGGGTTCCTAGTGGAACATAGGGCTTCAGTAGCACGTCTCCAGTGACCTCTGTTCTCTGAGGTCTTTTGAACCTGGTCCCACGACAGCCCACAAGCTCTCATTTCCTCCTCGCACGACCTCCTCCATGTCACCCTCGGACGTCCAACTCGTCGCTTCCCATCGGGGTTCCACTCGAGCAACTGGCCTGACGCGTGATGTCCTCAGTCGGCCTTCTCAGTGCATGGCCAATCCATCTCCACTTCTTCCTGCATATTTGTTGGGTGATAGGTTCTTGGTTGGTTCGTTCCCAGAGTCCCTTGTTGCTTATTCTTTCTGGCCATCTGATCTTCAGTAGCGAGCGTAAGCAATTGTTGATGAATGTCTGTAGTTTATTGGAAATGCCTTTCGTGACGCGCCAAGTCTCTGAACCATACAGGAGCACTGACTTGACGTTGGTGTTTAAAATCCGTATCTTGTTCCGCATGCTGAGTGCAGAAGATCTCCACACTGGTTTCAGGCTAATGAACGCCTGTCTTGCTTTTCCGATTCTGACTTTGACGTCCTCGTCCGTCCCGCCTGTAGTTGAAACAGTGCTTCCTAGATAAGTGAAGGAGGTTACTTCCTTTAAGTTTCTCCCGTTGATGGTGATTGGAGTTTGTTGTTGTTGTTGATGGTGGTGGTGCGGTAACTTCATCACCTCTGTCTTCTCTATATTCACTTGAAGTCCCGTCTTCGCTGCCTCTTCTATCAACTTGTTAGTTTTTGCCTGCAGATCTTCAAGTTTATGTGACATTAGGCACAAGTCATCGGCGAAATCCAGATCTTCTATGTTCTTTTCCGCAGTCCAGCGTATCCCCCTCTTCTCGCTGCCTACTGTTTGCTGCATGATCCAGTCCACCAGATTATTTTGCTTAATTGCATCGATAGGATCTTCTAACCTACAAAGCTTGTTTCTAAGTGAGTTTGTTGGTTTGAATGCCACTTTAATCCCAGCCTTATTGAGAATTCTTCGTAGTGCTTCTGAGGTGCCTTCCTTGTATGGTAACACATCAGAGGCTTTGAATTCTCTCTTAACACTGTCGCCATTATTACAACTAGTAGTGGGATTATTATTAATAACATCTGTATTACTACTACTACTACTACCACTGCTAATATTTTTCTTTCGATTTCTTATGAATTTATTTATAAATTTTGGTAGGTAACTATTGAGACGTAGGGTATTCTTGATGTGTCTAATTTCTTGTCGCAGATTTTCCGATCTACTAGTAAGTTTTTTCACTCTATCACCTAAGCATTTAACTAGGCCTACTTTAACTGAAATGGGGTGGGAGGATTCGAAGTCAAAGTAGCGATTGGGTAGGTGTCCTATAGACACTAGTCTCTAGATTTCCTTCTAGTGTTCGTTTAATCTTACAATCCAACATTGCTAGCTCACCTTCTTCACTTTCTTAGTCACAAGTAAATTGGATTGCATTTACTACTGAATTTATATGTGCCAAGAACCTATTGATGTGTTCCGATTTCAGTACTGTAAACGTATCATCTACATATCGGAACCATATCTTTGGAGTAGGACTAAATGTTTGAAGGACCATCTATTCCCAATTATCCATAAATATGTCTGCGACAATAGGGGATATCGGTGATCCCATGGCAACACCTTCAGTTTGTTTATATATTTCATTTTGAAACTTAAAAACTGTAGGTGTTAGGCACAATCGTACTCCTAGTATGATTTCCTCGATCGGCAGCTTAGTTCGATGCGTAAGCTCTTTGTCATCTTTAAGCCCATTTCGAACTGCCTCCAGAGCCATGTCAATCGGTATGTTTGTGTAAAGGCTAGTTATGTCAAAACTAACCATTTTTTCATTGTCGTCTAACCTATGCTTTAAGTCATAAGAGTTGGTAATTCGAGACTGAGTGATTTCTTATTGGACCTAACACTATTGCTAAATATTTAGACAACTCGTAAGTCGGAGTGTTTCTAAAATCTACTGTAGGCCTGATGGGATAACCTGGCTTATGAATCTTAATGGTACCATACATTCTACTGGGATTATTAGTTTTCGGCATTAAATTAAACCACTCCGACTCACCTAGAAATGGCTTCATCTGGCGTATCAGATCTACTGTCGATTTCTTGACCTTATTCATAATAGTATCCACTGACTTCTGAATTTCTTCATATGGTCCTGTTTCTATATGCTCGTTCACCTTGCAGATGTAGTCAGATTTGTTCATCACAACTACTGAGTTGCCTTATCCGATTTGGCAATTACTATATTGTTATCATTTTGAAGGTTCCAGCTCAGAGAGGGAAGCTCTGAGGAAAAGAAAGAGGATTCGGGAAGATCCATTTTGAAGGTTCCTGAGAGCTTCCCTCTCTGAGCTGGAACCTTCAAAATGATAACAATATAGTAATTGCCAAATCGGATAAAGGCAACTCAGTAGTTGTGATGAACAAATCTGACTACATCTGCAAGGTGAACGAGCATATAGAAACAGGACCATATGAAGAAATTCAGAAGTCAGTGGATACTATTATGAATAAGGTCAAGAAATCGACAGTAGATCTGATACGCCAGATGAAGCCATTTCTAGGTGAGTCGGAGTGGTTTAATTTAATGCCGAAAACTAATAATCCCAGTAGAATGTATGGTACCATTAAGATTCATAAGCCAGGTTATCCCATCAGGCCTACAGTAGATTTTAGAAACACTCCGACTTACGAGTTGTCTAAATATTTAGCAATAGTGTTAGGTCCAATAAGAAATCACTCAGTCTCGAATTACCAACTCTTATGACTTAAAGCATAGGTTAGACGACAATGAAAAAATGGTTAGTTTTGACATAACTAGCCTTTACACAAACATACCGATTGACATGGCTCTGGAGGCAGTTCGAAATGGGCTTAAAGATGACAAAGAGCTTACGCATCGAACTAAGCTGCCGATCGAGGAAATCATACTAGGAGTACGATTGTGCCTAACACCTACAGTTTTTAAGTTTCAAAATGAAATATATAAACAAACTGAAGGTGTTGCCATGGGATCACCGATATCCCCTATTGTCGCAGACATATTTATGGATAATTGGGAATAGATGGTCCTTCAAACATTTAGTCCTACTCCAAAGATATGGTTCCGATATGTAGATGATACGTTTACAGTACTGAAATCGGAACACATCAATAGGTTCTTGGCACATATAAATTCAGTAGTAAATGCAATCCAATTTACTTGTGACTAAGAAAGTGAAGAAGGTGAGCTAGCAATGTTGGATTGTAAGATTAAACGAACACTAGAAGGAAATCTAGAGACTAGTGTCTATAGGACACCTACCCAATCGCTACTTTGACTTCGAATCCTCCCACCCCATTTCAGTTAAAGTAGGCCTAGTTAAATGCTTAGGTGATAGAGTGAAAAAACTTACTAGTAGATCGGAAAATCTGCGACAAGAAATTAGACACATCAAGAATACCCTACGTCTCAATAGTTACCTACCAAAATTTATAAATAAATTCATAAGAAATCGAAAGAAAAATATTAGCAGTGGTAGTAGTAGTAGTAGTAATACAGATGTTATTAATAATAATCCCACTACTAGTGGTAATAATGGCGACAGTGTTAAGAGAGAATTCAAAGCCTCTGATGTGTTACCATACAAGGAAGGCACCTCAGAAGCACTACGAAGAATTCTCAATAAGGCTGGGATTAAAGTGGCATTCAAACCAACAAACTCACTTAGAAACAAGCTTTGTAGGTTAGAAGATCCTATCGATGCAATTAAGCAAAATAATGTGGTTTACCAGATTCCTTGCAATGATTGCGAGGTCAAGTACATAGGTCAAAGCAGTCGACAAGGGTCGATTAGAATAACAAAGCACAAAAGCTTAGCTAAATCAAGATCAGTAGATCCTAATAAGATAAGAAATCTAGAGAAAAACTTGGCTATAGCTCTGCATGCGATGACACACAATCACACAGAAGGCTGGGATAGGGTGACAGTTTTGAAAACTAGCTTAGTTGGGTGGAGGAAGAGATTGATAACCGAATCTTTGTTTATCGAATCAACACCAAAGACACGCAATCGAAATGATGCTGCACCTGTCCAAGATATATGAAAAATTTTACTACCCTTGTCATCACAGAGAAGGAGAGAAAACTAGGAATATATAAAGACTGTCTCGAAGTTGTGGAGTTACCTGATATGAATATGGACAATAAATTATGTCCGAAACGTTATCCAGTAAATGTTACTGTTTCACTGTGTGATATTTCTAATAAACAGAATAAAATGGAATTACACTTGACCACAGTGCCCAAGTTTTACACTTATGTATATGAATGTGTTTTAATATATGCATAGGATTTACTAAATTTTGCCCTTTGTTACTTATCGTGGCGGGAGTAAAACGTGGGCACTGTGGTAGAGCATACCGTAAGCAGTATTATACTGCATCACTATGTGCTTTGTCAAGTAAGCAGTCTGATATGGAATTATCGTGGTAGGGCCCACCATTCTATATTTAGCTGAGTTTTCGTCTTCTGCTAACTTGACTGGCCCTAATTGGTTAGTCTAACGTATACATTTAACCTCACGGTCATTGCATGAAATTCGGGAAGGTAACTTATTTCATCGCAAAGGGTCACTAAACTAACAAAGTTAGTTTTTAAGTGAACTCGTAGATTGAAATGCCATGCTAATCATGGCCTTTTTGAGGATTCTACCCAAGGTTAATTATGTACCTTCTTCATATGACCTCGAACTCCTCGTAAATCATGTTACAATCACTTCTTATATTACCACTTCTTTTCTTACAAGGTTTTACGAATTTTAAAAAGGAATTCCGAGGATATCGATTTACGAGTATTGTTTCTCTTAAATATTTTGTTCCTTCCTCTAGATTTTTAGACTTAATTAGTTAAAATGATTATTTATAAATTTAGCATAGTTTTCCTCTACGGATGTGGGAGGGGATAAACTAGAGTTTTCATATCTAGTAAAGTGAGGTAGTTTTCCGTTAAAGATACAATACTTTGATAGTTATAAATTTTTGTCAAAACGGAGGTACTCATTTTCATATAACTCAACTTAGTCAACCATATACAGAATGTTGATTCTTATCGCCACAATGATTTACAAGTATGCAATAAATTGCACATAGGACTTTCTGAAGTGATTTGGCAGAGTATGTAATACTGAGGACTTCAGTCTAAATATATAGCAGAAATCTTTGTACTTCAAGAGCGCAACTACGATGTTGTCTTTTATGAGTTGAAAGGTCTAACTGCTAACATCCATTGTCATTTTAACCAAAATCATCAGGGAAAGTTTAAAGAACAAATTAGTTGTCAAGATTTTCTTCACTAGTGCCTGAGTTGCTTGTCTTGGTGACCTGGAATATGACTGGTGTTTTCCGCCATTATATCATCATTGTCTGAACAAAGACTTCGATGATCTGTCCTACTGACATGAACTCTTTGTAGTTGTTCCGTATTGTTCTTTGGTTGATAGACTAAATCATTGTCAATATGACTATTAATTGAACTAAATATTCACCTCATAAGAAATGTATAGCATTCTTTGTACCTCCTCTAGTCAAGATTTCCACATTTTCCCTATTGAATCAATATGCATAGCTGTCAACAGGAAATCATATTAGTGGAGGTATACCGTGATGCTTCACCGTTATTTGACGTTCATTTAACCAAAAATGAAAGCTACTGCTATCCTATCCGATATCGTGTTTTTCTCGCAGTTTCTGCATCTTATTTTGTTGCAAATATTGAACCCACTTTCTGGTACTATTTGACATTTCGTATCGGTAATATGAAGTAGAGAACCTTTATCTGCAGCAGTTTGATAGGTTTCAATAGTCTGGTTGCAACCTCCCAGAAATTCTTCACATTTGCAAGACAAACCATATGTAGTTTTTCTGGAACAATTGCAGTATATCTTCGCTCTTTTGAACTATGGCTTTTTACAACTTATTTTACGTGTTTTTGGACTGATGCTAATGTAAATGAGCATTAGATTTGTTTAAGTTGGTGTCTCAAGGGAAGAAAGGTAGATCCACTAGTATGTAATTGTTCACAAACTTTTGAATAAGAATTTAGGGTTAAAATATGTATGAAAGGCATCATTCTTAATTTTAATACTTAACTCTTTCTTGAATTACTTAGATGATTATGTATGGTAGGAAACAACTGGATGTTATCATCATAATATGCGGTAGTTGTCCAGATCAGCCTACACCATTTATTCTTCAGTATTTAGAGCAAATACTAGTTGGTTTCAACCTACCTCGACTGCATCTGGTTGCTTATGATTGTCAAAACCCTGAAGTGAACCAGTTATTAGCTCAAATGGCTACGATAAAACGAGACTTCATTTACCATTGCTATGTATCTGACAACGAATCAGCCGTGTACACAAGTGATGAAATCGCTCGTCTTTTGAAAGAAGTTCATGATGCACAGGTATGTACTGAACATTTTTAGGCGTTATCTAACTGTTTAACAGAAGACCTGTTCTATAAATTACCGCATGGCTAAGGAAACTTGTTTTCGCTTAGATCCGAAAACTTATATCAAGAGCTCTTTGGAGCCATTATTTGGTTTGATTTTGGCATCTGAAAAAGACAGACAATTAAAGTCGAATCTGACCGAGAAGTACATTGGTTCAAGTTGCCACAGTTTACAGTAGTATGCAAGGGATAAGTGTATAGAAAAACTGATATTAAGGTCGACAAATGTGAATAATATTCAGGTGGCCTCTATAATAGGCAGTTCTTGAATAATTTTAAATAGTTGCTAAAAGGTAGGGAAACTACTGGCTTAAGAAATGACGCCATGTAGTTATTATCATTTGGTCTGGGACGGTGCATTTCCTACATTACAATCATCTGGTGGGTGTTCCAGCCACCGTATAACTCAGTAGCTTTAGGTGGTAAATCTGGTTGTAATATGAAAGTCTTCTGAGAACCGTCTTCTACAAATAAAAAGTAATAAAACAAAAAAAACACATGGAAAAACTGGGGCGAAAAATATCTTCCTTTTTCTTCTTATAATTAACAGTATATCGTATCTTGGTTCACTTATCACGACGTTATTTTGGTCTGCTCATTTGTTCTCTCACTCCATGTGTTGTTTGCATAGACAAAATTAATTGCTCAGTGTACGTCCTGTAGATAGAC